AGTGAGGCTATGAAGCTCACTCCCTCTCAAAACACTACCGGATATGCCATAAGAGAGACCCATCATCTTTGACTTTTATGGGGATTGATATTATACAAACTCACTGGAGGGGGACCAATAAAAGAAAGGCGGTGTCCCAATTAGATTCCAAGTGGATTTTTGGGAACTATGCACCCTAGAGGACTCAACATTAACATGGACATAAACTGCTTTATTGATAATAGTTGAAACGTTGCACCCTCCTTTTTTATCTGTTTACCTTTTTTTATGTGCGCCTTTGTATTTCATGTTTTTATATATTTTTTTTTATATACAGTGGGGCAAAAAAAGTATTTAGTCAACCACCTATTGTGCAAGTTCTCCCACTTAAAAAGATGAGAGAGGCCTGTAATTGGCATCATAGGTAGACCTCAACTATGAGAGACAAAATGAGAAAAAAAATCCAGACAATCACATTGGCTGATTTGGAAAGAATTTATTTGCAAATTATGGTGGAAAATAAGTATTTGGTCACCTACAAACAAGCAAGATTTCTGGCTCTCACAGACCTGTACCTTCTTCTTTAAGAGGCTCCTCTGCCCTGCACTCATTACCTGTATCGATGGCACCTGTTTGAGGTTGTGGACAGGTGTCTTTTATACTGCTAACAAGTTCAAACAGTCACACTCCAAACTCCACTATGGTGAAGACCAAAGAGCTAGGCAAGCAGCTTGGTGTGAACAAATCAACTGTGGGAGCAATAATTAGAAAATGGAAGACATACATGACCACTGATAATCTTCCTCGATCTGGGGCTCCACACAAGATCTCACCCCGTGGGGTCAAAATGATCACAAGAACGGTGAGCAAAAATCCCAGGACCACACGGGGGGGACCTAGTGAATGACCTGCAGAGAGCTGGGACCAACGTAACAAAGGCTACCATCAGTAACCCACTACGCTGCCAGGGACTCAGATCCTGCAGTGCCAGACGTGTCCTCCTGCTTAAGCCAGTACATGTCCGGGCCCATCTGAAGTTTGCTAGAGAGCATTTGGATGATCCAGAAGAGGATTGGGAGAATGTCATATGGTCAGATGAAACCAAAATAGAACTGTTTGGTAGAAACACAACTCGTCGTGTTTGGAGGAGAGAGAATGCTGAGTTGCATCCAAAGAACACCATACATACTGTGAAGCATGGGGATGGCAACATCATGCTTTGGGCTGCTGTTTCTCCGCAAGGGACCAGCACGACTGATCCATGTACAGGACAGAATGAATGGGGCCATGTATCGTAAGATTTTGAGTGCAAACCTCCTTCCATCAGCAAGGGCATTGAAGATGAAACGTTACTGGGTCTCTCAACATGACAATGATCCCAAACATACCGCCCGGGCAATGAAGGAGTGGCTTGGTAAGAAGCATTTCAAGGTCCTGGAGTGGCCTAGCCAGTCTCCAGATCTCAACCCCATAGAAAACCTTTGGAGGGAGTTGAAAGTCCATGTTGACCAGCGACAACCCCAAAACATCACTGCTCTAGAGGAGATCTGCATGGAGGAATGGGCCAACATACCAGCAACAGTGTGTGCCAACCTTGTGAACACTTATAGGAAACATTTGACCTCTGTCATTGCCAACAAAGGATATATAACAAAGTATTGAGATGAACTTTTGATATTGACCAAGTACTTATTTTCCACCATAATTTGCAAATAAATTCTTTCCAAATGTGATTGTCTGGATTTTGTTTCTCATTTTGTCTCTCATAGTTGAGGTCTACCTATGATGCCAATTACAGGCCTCTCTCATCTTTTTAAGTGGGAGAACTTGCACAATTGGTGGCTGACTAAATACTTTTTTGCCCCACTGTATATATTTTTACATTTTTTTTACACATCTTTACATTTTATATTCTTATCCCCATTTTACCTTCCCTTTTTAGCTGATTTTACTCCCATCCTGGTCATTGCGAATTTAAGGTTTATTCTATTCTATTTTGTTTAATAAAGTATAATCATTCATTTATCCTATTTTACTCAGGTGTTTTATACTATTGTATATGTTGAATAGTTTCATCTGACTTTTGTTTGAATCGACTGACCTACATATTTACAGTTACCTATATGTATTCCGCTTTTACTATATATATATATATATATATATATTGATATTAATCAATTATGTATTTATCTTATATTCGTGCACTACTATTTTTCACCAGTTTTTATAATATATGTATGCATCCACTTTGATGCGTGAATCATTGAACAAATTATATGTAGGCGTTCATTCAGTTTAGCCTTACATGTTTGGATACTTGGGATGTAGCGCGCATGCGCTGTGGCTATTCCCTTAGGGGTTGTTATTTAGGTTGAATATACTGTTCCCATCTTCACTATGCTATTACCTATATTGAGCATATTCACCTTGATATCCATTAAATGTGTTTTTGAGTGATCATAACGATCTTTACACTCCCTGGTGATCTAGATGGCACTTATTGTGTTTTTTCCTCCATGAAAATGGCGCCTGCGCATGCGCCGTTGTCTATCTAAAACAAAATGACGCTCGATATGGAGACATTGGTCTCCAGCAAAATGGCACGCATGAAATGTGCATGCGCCATTTTTACTATATATACACGCTGTGAGATGTCAGATGCTGTAGGCACACCCCCTATGATTATGTGCAATAGCACAAAACGTGTCAGCAAGGAGCTACAGCATCGTGATGTCACGCCGCTGGCACCACGTGGGTCCCGGCGGCCATCTTGGATCTCTGTATATGGTCAGTGATTTCTGTTCTGTTCCCTATACATCTGCATTTGTGTTGGAATAAACATACACCTCTTAAAACGGTATCACACTGTTGGCCTCCTCTTTTTGGGCTCCTTGTGAGCGTCTGACAACCCACAGAGCTGCACGAGGAGCGGTAGAGCCATTGCTGACAGCAGAGGAAGCAGTGAGGGGACATCAGACCAGACCATACTCACCTTTAAAGGGGCCTCCAGTTGATCTACTGAGAGTGTTCTCTCTAAATGCACTAATTGATTGCGCATCTGGTGAGTGCGCAGTCTTTACACCATTGGTCATATCACCATATTACGGATAGAACACCAATTGAGGATCACTATCAGACCTTCTACACATTCATCTTTGGACATTATAATCAGTTTTTCAGCACTTTATCAAGCACTGTTGGTCACTATACAGTGACAGAGTTGTACGTTATCACTAAGTCACTTTATTTTGTTGATATATGAGCACCTTATCACTGGTCACTTTACTGAATGTTCTCTCCTTTATATATAATCGATATTTATTGATATGTGGATATGAAATTTTGATACTGGATAACTTTAGGATTTTAGCGCTGCACCCTTCTTACACTGGAAACCATGCATGCCCATGCCATCACACTGCTTCCACCATGTTTTACAGATGATGTTGTGTGCTTTGGATCATGAGCTGTTCCAAGCCTTCTCCACATGTTTTTCTTCCCGTCATTCTGGTACAGATTAATCTTAGTTTCATCTGTCCAAAGAATGCTTTTCCAGAACTGGTCTGGCTTCTTTAGATGATTTTTGGCAAAGTCTAATCTGGCTTTCTATTCTTCAGGCTTAAGAATGGTTTGCACCTTGTGGTGAACCCTCTGTATTTGCTCTTGTGAAGTCTTCTCTTGATTGTGGACGTTGACAATGATATGCCCACCTCCTGGAGGGTGTCCTTCACCTGACTGGATGTTGTGAATGGGCTTTTCTTTACCATAGAAAGGATCCAGTGGTGGATGATCACAGTCTTCCATGGACGTCCATGCCTTTATATTTTGTTAAGCTCACCAGTTTGTTCTTCTTTCCTCAGAATGTACCACACTGTTGATTTGGCCACTCCTAATGTTGCTGCTACCTCTCTGATGGATTTGTTTCCTTTTTGAAGCTTTGCAATGGCCTGTTTCACTTGCATGGAGAGCTCCTTTGAATGCATGATGTAGGTTCACAGCAATAGATTCCAAATGCAAATACCGCACTTCGAATCAACTCCAGACCTTTTACCTGCTTAATTGTTGAAGAAATAATGAAAGAGTAGCTCACACCTGGCCATGAAACTTCTTTTGAGTCAACTTTCCAATTACTTTTGTTCCCTTGAAAAAAAAGGGATGGTTGCTCTTAAGAGCTGTAATTCCTGAACCATTCCTCCAATTTGGATGTACATACCCTCAAATTAAACCTGCGAGTGTGCACTTTCAGCCCATATCCATTATATAACTATAGCTTGAATATGTTTTGGTAAATACCAGAAAAAAAACTAAAATTGTGCCTGTGTCCAAGTAGATATGGACGTACTTGTAGTTATATTTCTTTGGCAGTACATAAAGCTTCTTTCCTTATTCATTAATATCCTTGTCTGTGAATCCCTTTTTGTGCAAAGCAATGACTGCACGTTTCCTTGCAGGAAACCATGGTTAACAGAGCAACAACAATGATTTCAAGAACCACCCTCCTTTTAAAGCTTCCAGTCTGTTAATCTAACTCAATCAGCATGACAGAGTGATCTCCAGTCTTGTCCTCACCGACACCTGTGTTAACGGCAGAATCACTGACATGATGTCCTTTTGTGTCAGGGCTGAAAGGTAGTGGATACGTTTTTTGGGATTAGGTTTCATTTTCATGGCAAAGAAGGACTTTGGAATTAAATGCAACCCATCTGATCACTCTTCGTAACATGGAGTATATGCAAATTGCAATCGTAAAAACTGAGGCAGCAGACTTTGTGAAAATTAATATTTGTGTCACTCAAAACTTTTGGCCACAGTTGTAGGTTACATCTCAGTTAAATTAACACTTCAAACTGATAGGTTGAGCTCTGTACTTTATTGTACAATTTCAACTATACAAAAAGCTATTTACAAAAACAATTATAATACATTTGTGCTATATGCCTCATCTTGCCCTGTAAAATATAAAAAAAATTAGCTTGATACATATTTAAAAATATTCCAGTTCCAGTGAAACGGGTTCAGATGGGCAAACCAAAGGTTGACATGACCAGCTGGATGGCTTGCAAAGGGTCCACAATCTCCCTCATATTATCTTTCCTGAGCACCCAGTCAGGCTTGATTCTGGAAAGAAAATTATGAAAGTACAGTGAGAAATTCATCTTGCACAGTTAAATGCATTAAGATTATGGCTACAGGAAAACTCTGTTGTGTATTTACAACATTTAAACATTAACATTTGAAGCATGAAGAGAGGACCCACCACCATGCAAGTGGACTGAAACAGATTAATCCAGATACTGCGCTGTTTTTTATCCAAAAATGACTAACACTCAAACCAGGCTTACATTAGACTTCTATGACATGACATGTTCCAATTGGGTGGCATGAACAAAGCAAATATATTTTATTAAAGGATAAGTTCACATTTGGGAACATGTTACATCTTCCACCCGTTTTTAGGGTAGTACGAATAACACGTTCCCAATGCTGCAGCTGCTTCCAACTGCCCCCCCCCCCCCCATGACTGAAGTATGGGGAGAAGTTCCCCATCCAAGCTGTCACTTTTTAAAAACAGCAAGTCCATGCGGGGCTCTGCCCACATTCTTCATTCACAGTGACTACAAGTCCCGTCAGTCTTAACGGCTGTCCGCTTGTAGTTCTCAATGAACTACAAGCACCGTGGTAGTTCATTGACTCTTCCTGTCAATATATCTGCTTGCCTGTATATCCAGTATGGGCAAGCAGATATACTAACAGGTCTGCAGACCTGCATGGCACCAGTGATTTGCTAATCACTGGTGCAATGCTTTACAGGCACCTGCAACCAAAAATAATAAATGCACATTTTTTTACCTGCCAAATGTGCATTTATTATTTTTGGTCAAAAGGTGAACTTATCCTTTAAGCAATTAGCTGGACCAAAAATGGTTTTACAAATGAAAGTTAAGGTTCAGGCAAACCTTTGGTAAGTAAATCAGTAAAGAGAAAATTGTACTGTGAGAAGATGAAGGCTCTAATTGCTAACCAACTCTTTCTGAAAATGCTAGTCCCCATCATTCTTGGGTCTTTCAGATTTGCATGCTTGCCCAGATTAACGGCTCCAGACAACTAGCAATTTAAGTCTGCAATGCCAGCCTACATGGTTGTTTCATTACAAGTTTCCTTTAAAATATGAAATATTTGCCAGTCTTGTGACTCAGACACACCTGCCACAAAGCATAGCCATTTTACCAACCATATTATTGCTGAGGTCATCAACATTTCTCTTGTCTCAGCGAGCTCACAAAATCAGACTGACAGCACTGTAAAAGGAATGACTTGACCAGCTCACAGTACTAATCCACTCTCTTCCAGTCTAAATTCTGCTGTGCGGTAGTAAATCACACACAAAAAAAAAAAAAAAAAAAAAAAAAAAGAAGAGAAAATGCCACCAAAGATAGGCGTGGTAACCTTATATGCCTGGGTGGTCATTACCTACTTTGGTAGTATGCGCCATGCAACTACTACTTTTCGTTTTCTGTGCAGTAGTGAAGCCTACTATTAAAAACAGACAGGTTTCCAGGAGTATATACTAGTTAAAGCTAAAAATACATTTAATTGTTTTATTAAATTAATCACTAGATCGCATACCTTTAGCTCTGTCTCTGAAAAAGGGAACTGACTACCATATACCAACTGCTAGATTAAATTTTTTATTACAATGCAAAAATCTGACTGTAAAACCAGCCATAGATGGATCGAGTCTTGGCTAGCTCAGCAGTGACCAGTGAAGATTTGATCTATCTATTATCCATCGATCAACTTGGGTACAACGAACCTGTTCGATTTTTTTTTTTCCATGAGATTACTGTGGGCAGCTATAGCTTCTATCAGTAATTGTGTTCTGCCAGCCAGGAAGGCTCCCTGTTGGCAGAACACAATACAGCTGCAAGATGGGATTCCGAGGTAGAAGGAAAGGAAAAAAAAAAAAAAAAAAAAAAAACACGCAATCTATGGCCTGCTTAAGCTGTGTACCCATGCTGACAACTTTTATTATACAAATTGCTTTCTTTTAAGCCTCTAATCTGTATGTGGTATTTTCCTAAAGTAAATTAGCCGGTTATATATATCAGTGCACAGTACTACCCTATACAATTAGTCTGTACCTTGATACAATTCTTGTGTGTAAAGGTGTGGTCTGGAAAGATGTGTTGCCATGAACTCGAGAACTATTCATGAGCTGTTTGCTGACATTCCGCGCTGTATCCATTTTGTGCTTCCGTGATATCAGGACATATATGCTGGAGATTCGAGTCATAGCTTTAGGAATAGTGTGAATTTCCTATGGAGAGGAAACATTCAAATTGAAACTGCCTCAAATGCAGACATAAGTGGATTACTGTAAACAATACAATATGTCAAAATGCAGAAATTACATAAATACAACACAGCCAACAACCTCTGAACTAGGGCCAATCACAGCAGCATTTTGCTTTGTAAAAAGGTGTTTTTGATGCAAGATACCCTTCATCACTCTGGAAACCAAAAAAAAAAAAAAAGAAAAAATGTGGCCAACAAATGATGGAATATGGCCACTTCACATAAAGCACTCTGCAGCTTGTCTATAGCTGGTAGAATGCAGCATTTCAGAGTAGGATTTCATACATTAATATTCTATAGGAAACTTGTGCTTTTTTCTTTTGTCGGTTACTTGTTTTCCTAGCCATTTAAAAGTTTGCATAGCCATTTTTTATATCAGAGGACAACAGGTCAAAGGATGTTCCTACATCATGTTTGTTCACTGATGTTCTAAAATGATCAGGGCGAAGTCAAAGATAAGTTAATAAGTTCCTGGTTAAAAAAAAAAAATGGAAGAAACCTACCTTAGCTCGGCAGGAATCCAGACCAAAGATGGCCAAGAGACAACAGGTCTTGGTAAATATGCTTCCACCCTTCTCTGGTACTTTGTCTCCAGGCTTTTCTCTGTAGATCTGCATCAAGTCTAGAAGAACTTCAACAGAATCCTCTACTTCATACACAGCAGATACAGTCTTCTCATACTACAATTGAATAGGGAAAAACTAAGTGTAAGAGATGTAGCCATACTTAAAACTGAACTCTATGAAAAGCGAAAAATCTTCTTTGCAGTAGGGCTGGCCTTGGGTTAGGGTTAAAGTGGTTCTAAAGTTGAAGCTTTTTTTACATTAATGCATTCCCATTATTAAGGTAAACAAATGTTTTACCACTTGTTCAATCCTGTCCTTCTCCAAACCCCACCTCGTGATCCAGAGCTGTCCCCGCCAGCAGCCCCACTCTCTTCTCTTCCTGCAATCACAGAACCGGGAGTATGGACACACACAGCACGGCTCGGGAGCATGCCCCTACAGCCGGCAGCTTGAACCTGCACTGCAATGGTTTACTGCTCATTTATTCCTGGGGACTGGGTAAACCTTTACCGATTCTCCAATCCTGCAGGCTGCACTGCTAAATTAGTCCCTGCAGCCTCTTCTCCCCTGCATCCAGTCGTCTAAGACAGCCTTTCTCAACCAGGGTGTCAGCACCCTGGGGTGCCTTGGCAAAATGTCTAAAAGTTGCACAAAAAACTTGTATACAAGCTAATGGGTGGAAGAAGCCTGCCTTTTAGTTACACAAAGCCATAGGTTTTCATTCTGCACCATTATGTCCTAGCCACCAGCATCCTGACACCCTCAATATCAATCGATGATGTCATTGGTTATCAGTTGCCTGCACAGCATCCTTGTTTGACCCTCCCCTGCCCCTCTCCATCAGTGCTGGGGTCACATTAGCTCAGTGATGCAGTAAAACTGAGAGAAACATTGTAATACTAGTCAGGACCAGGGGTGGACTGACCATTTGGGAACTCGGGCAATGTGAAAAAGTGTATTTGATTTGGAAGAATAAATCACCTCTAGCGTTGGGTGTCCATGTGTGGATGTTGATGCGTTATATAAAACTGAACAGTTTTTTTACATTTTAGAATAGGGTGCCTCAAGACTGTCCATAATTTAAAGGGTGCCTTGAAATTGTCCATAATTTTAAAGGGTGCCTTGACTGAAAAAAGGTTGAGAAACACTGGTCTGAGGTCCTCTGACATCATCAAGAATACAACTCTACATTGTACATGCCATTGCAGAGGGACAGTCCACTACCAGAGCTGAGCAGAGGATCAGGAAAGTGTTTTTCTAATCCCACAGACTAAATGAGAAATTACAGGCCAAGTTCACCTTTAAGAAAACACTATCAAATACAGATGCTTGGCAGGAAAAAAAAATTTGGTTTTTTTTCCCCACAGAGGAGCCTGCAAAGCATTGCACCTGCTATCAATGGATCGTGGGTGCAAGTCAGGCTTCTGCAGACTCTTCTTTCGGCTCAGTTGCAGAGCTGGAGGAAGTATTAATGGACGAGTGTGTTGATTATCACAGCTGTGTTCCATTGAGAACTACAAGTCATCTGCTGTGGTCTCCTGTCTGCAGACAGACTTGTAGTTCATTCATTCACAGATCTCTGTAAAATGAATGGCATGGTTCTGCAGATAGTCCTGCACAGCCATGCCAATATCAAAAGGGGCAGCAGCTGTGGGAGAGAAGAATGGTGTCATGGGGTGGGGGGTCTGGACTCAGGGGCTGAGGAGAAGTGGTGCTTACCAACAAGTTACACCTGAAATACGGATGTAACATGTTACTAAAAGTGGCATTAGTCTTTAACCCTTGCAGTCCCTTGTGGGTGCATTCGCACTGTAAGGGGGGACTTTTTAGTTATCAGATTTAAGCATACATACTATACACTCACAGGCCACTTTATTAGGTACACCTGGTCAATTGCTTGGTAACACAAATTGCTAATCAGCCAATCACATGGCAGTAAATGCATTTAGGGATGTGGTGAAGACAACTTGCTGAAGTTAAAACAAAGAATCAGAATGCGGAAGAAAGGGGATTTAAGGGACTGTGAACATGGCATGGTTGTTGATGCCAGACGGGCTGATCTGAGTATTTAAAAAAAAAAAAAAAAAAACTGCTTATCTACTGGAATTTGCACGCTATCTCTAGGGAAATCGAGACACATCCAGAAAACATTCTTCCAATCTTTTTTGGCCAATTTTGGTGGGCCTGTGTGAATTGTAGCCTCCGTTTCCTGTTCTTAGCCGACAGGAGTGGCACCCGGTGTGGTCTTCTTTAGCTGTGGCCCATCTGCTTCAGCGTGTTGTGCATTCAGAGATGGTATTCTGCATACCTTGGTTGTAACAAGTGGTTAGTTGAGTTACTGTTGTCTTTCTATCATCTCAAACCAGCCTGCCCATTCTCCTCTGACATCAATAAGGCATTTTCATCCACACATCCACACAACTGACGCTCACTGGATATTTTCTCTTTTTCGGAACACTCGCTGTGGTTGTGCTTAAAAATCCCAGCAGATCATCAGTTTTTGAAATACTCAGACCAGCCCATTTGTCACCAAGAGCCATGTCACATTCAGAGTCACTTAAATCCCCTTTCTTCCCCATTCTGTGGCTCGGTTTAAACTTCAGCAAGTTGTCTTCACTACGTCTACATGCCTAAATGCATTGAGTTTCTGCCATGTGATTTGCTGATTAGCAATTTGTGTTACCAAGCAGTTGAACAACTGTACCTAATAAAGTGGCCGGTGAGTGTACATGCACAGGAAGATCATTACATATTCATGCACAGCTTTCTTAGCACTGCACCATGATAGCACTTTGCTACTACTGATTCTTAGTGCCATGTTACCGGTCAAGTTTGACTGATTGAAAACAATGCATTCTCTGTCAGCAGACATTTACAAATTTTGTATTTAATATATTGACATTATGGTCTAGGCCAGCCTTTATCAACCACTGTGCCCAGGCACCCTTGAGTGCGCAGTCATGCGTCTTCAGGGGTGCCTTTTCAAAATGCCTAAAAAGGGCCCAAAAATTGTAACAAGACAGCTGGTAGATCAAGCTTGTCTTTTAGTTACAAAGCCACAGGTTTTCATTGTGGACCATTTCAACTGCCAGCACCTTGACAAACAATGACGTCATCGGTTGAGAAGGGGGATGTCGGACGCCTGCACAGCATCCTTGTTTGCCTCTCCCCATCAGCACTGGGGTCATATTAGCGGAGTGAAGGAGAGAAACTGAGGGAGAAGAGAAACCGTGGAATATGACTCAGTACTAGTGGGGGCAAAGGTGTATTTTCTTTGGAAGAATAAATCCCCTCTAACGATGGGTGTCCTGTGTGTGTGGATGTTGCTGTGTTCTGTAAAACTATTAGTTTTGTTTTTTTACAATTTAAAATGGGGTGCCTTGAGATCGTGCAGAATTTTAAGGGTGCCTTGACTGAAAAAAGGTTGAGAAACACTGGTCTAGGTATACAATAAAAATTCTATGTACTCACACAGCTAATGCATAAACATATCAGAACATCATAACTAGATACCTTGGTGAGGTTGAGCAGAATCTGTATAGACAGCTTGATCACTTCCATACAAGGGATACTCCTGTTACAGCTCCGGATCAGAGTGAAAATGGTCCTCACAGCTCCACTCTGTGCCATCCTTTCACAGCAAATAGAAGACAGTCTGGTGGCAGCTTCTACAAGACGAAGGGACACATAGAGGGCATTGGTGTACTGCAGACCAATTACAAATATGTCAGACAAGGTACTTCAATATTCATGTCTTTATATCCATGTTTCCTCCAAAAGAAGCCGTCAAAAGAAAGATTGCAAAATACAAAAAGGTAAACTCCCCCCCCCCCCCCCTCTACGAAAAAAAAAAAAAAAGAAAGGAAAGCTATCCACATTTAAATTGAATGGGAGAAACACGAAAGCTGCCTATGCTGACTTTTCCAGCTGAAAGTGCTAGCTGCCTGGCTGTTAACCTGACGCTCTGACTTGAAATAGAACAAAAACTGAATCAGTACAAGCATGCAGATTAGAACTTCTCATTTAATTCTGATTGATGATGTGCATACTTCTACCAGGACTCCGACTCTCAGCAATGGAGTTAAAAGTCCAGCACAATAGCCAAGTAACTAGCATTTTTATAAAGTCGTCAGCAGTGGCCTATTTTTTTCTCATCCTCATGGAGGATGATCTGGAGAAGTGGAGCAATAGATACAAAGATAAGTGCAGAGGCCAGCGCGGATCCCTTTGAGAATGTGCACGAAACGCGTCAGCAAGGAGCCTACGTGCTGACGTCACGCTGCCGAGTCCATGTGATAGTCTGGCAGCCATCTTTGCGAGTGGTTTTTATTCCATTGTTTATATTCAGCTCCACGTGGTTGCTAATTTTCTAATAAATATACAACACTATATTGCGCTGTCTTCAGGCTCAATGTGTGCTCCCACTTTAGGAGGGATCCCACCTTTAGATGGATTGGTGACTGGGCACAAGAATTAAGAAAATTTGCTCCAAAGTGTCATTTCATTGTATGCTGGTTTGCTACTTGCTTCTGTCGAGTGCATAATGGTGGAGGAGTAACACGGAGGTCACAGAAGTCACTACTGTCTGTTCTCCATTTGATCACATCATAATTTTGGGATTATTATCTGGTCAAGCTCTATTTTTGGGACATATCACTGTGCAATATTTACATCCCTGTCATTTCATATGTTGGACATTATTCACTCATATTGTGTGGTGACACGATTATTTATTTATTTCATTTAATTTAGAGGTGCACCATTTTTTGTCAGTTTTTAAAACATATATATGCTCCCTGGCCCTCCTCATTAACAATAGTCTAAGAACCCATTCAGACCTCTCCAGTGCAGTGCTTTCTGGGAAATGGGTTACCACACAGTACATGCAGTGGCCTGCACCCATTGCATCTCCTGATGTACATGTGTTGTGTTCTGGTGTGCTGCGCCACATAAAATGGTGCTGAAAGGTT